CTGCACACTTGTGCCTTGATTTCTTCATATAGATATGAATGGTAAGCACAGATTAACTTAAACGCAATAGCATAGAAATTAATATTTCATTTCACAGAGTTTCAGGAACTCAGCAGTGCTGCAGAAGCTGAACTCCCCTGTCGCTTGTTGGGATCTCAGTGCTACCATGTGCTGCCACGGAGTCCTTGCAGAAAGCAGGGCTGCGAGGCTGCGCAGGACACCTTGGGGTGCTGTAACATACAGAAGTGTCTGCTCTATGGTTTCTGCAGTAGTGTTTACTTGACAAGACTTGAGGGTAATTGTTTGAGAGCAGAAAATTTGCCCCTTGCTGTTTTAGCGTTTGGATGGGATTAGTTGTGTGACAGCTACATGTGGTCTTGCAGAAACCATTTCATGTGTCTGTTCTTTCCATTCTTAAATGCAAAGCCAGGACTTAATAGAGCTTGCTTAGCCTGCCATCATCCATTGAGAAAGTGTCTTCAACAGTTTCTGTGCAATGATCACAGTTCAGTGAGGCCAGCTGTGGAGCACTCTGGTTCTTTCTACATTTCCTACCTGCAATTAGAAGACCAAATGACCCCATGGTTTTAGGAGGGTGGCCCACAGCCCCATGCCAGAAAATCATCACATACCCCAGACCCACAAGAGGCCCAGTGTGTGATGGACTCTCCATCTTCCCCCTAAAAATTTCCCAATTGAAGTTGGGTATGTCCCAGTGACCGAGGCTGTGGGGTGACCTTTTGAAAGGTTTGCAGTGATAAACCATCTGTGTTGGGCCAACTAGCTTGCAGTCTGAGGCTGAGAGAGAAAAGGGGGACCCTGTTTTCAAGAGGCATCCCCAGGCAGGCAGGCACAGATCCTCACAACAGCACGAGGCCAGGCAGAGAGAAAACCCTGTGCCATGCGACTCAGTGTAAAAAGCATGGTGTGATGTATATCATCACACGCCCTGGCCTATATCACTTGGTGAACATCAGACCCAGAAGAGGTGAATTTATTTGCCATTTCCACATATATGAGGTTTCCCCTCTTTCGTTTATTTGTACATCTCTGCAGAGGATGGGAGACACAAGGGACATTACATTTCTGTGTTGTCTGAAACATATAAACCCACAGGCTGTATTATAAACAAAAGCTTCACTAAAAAATGTTGAAGTTAGATTTGTAATGAGGCTTTGACTAAGTGAAGTGACCTTCCCTTCAGGGCAGTTAGGTTTTCAGTTATTCCAGCAATGACTTTTAAACAAAAACTGTATCCCTTAAAAATTCAGCATGACTGAAGATCTCAAAATGAAGACTTAAAGGGACTGTGACTAGGATCCATTAGCAAGTGTTTGGTCTTCCAGCTCCATACAACTGCCTGAAAACACTAAACCTCCCTCCCGAGTCTCAGCCAAGTTGTCTGCTCCTTCTCTGCCAACATCACTTGCGCACATCATCTCATCTCTGTCTTCTGCTTTATCTTCCAGTGGGTTGGGAATTTTCTGAGCAGATTATCACCCAGTGTGGTCACAAAATTTTCCTCAAAAATGAAGAACATTCTCAAACCCTCTTTGAAACTAAACTACTTAGACTCACTTGTACATCAGCTGCTTCATTAAGGCTTTCAGAGGACAAGTCAGAGATCTGACATCCTTTTCTTTCAGGCCTCATATTACAGTGGAAACAAAGCCACTCCACGTGTCCTTGAAAAGGGATAGAGCAGCGATTTTGGTAAAATGTTTTACTGAAGGGAGTCACTAAGCTGCTGCTGTGGGGAAATGAGGCTGTGATATGCCTCAGCCTTACTAACTAGGCACGTAAGCACACATATGTATACGTCTGTGTCTATATATACATGCTATGCAGTAGTACATGTATATCCCCTGAAATCCTGCTTTAATTGAACAAATTAAAAATCAGTATAGTAAAACTTAAGAGCTTCCACCACAAACATTACTACCAGTTAACAGCAAACTCAAGCAGAGGCCTCTGATTAGAAGTGATGGCAGGAGGCACGAACACACATAGACACTGAGCCTTTTTCCACCCCCTAGACAATAGTGTTCAACACTTATTGTCTTCAAACGAGTGGCTTCCTGACTGCACAGTCACCTCTTTTGTGAGCAAATCGTCCCCTGTGCAAATCCTGGCACCAAAGTGGAGCCCCACAACGAGGTTCACCTCTTGCTCCCATACTCTGTGTTGACAGCTCTTGGGTGGCTGGGAGTTACTTCTGTCAGGAAAGAGAGCAGGCAGCAGCGCTTGGAAGTGTTGTGATAAAAAGAGCCAGCCTGCTGCCTCTGCAGTGTTTTGTTTTGATACTCTTCAGCTCTCCATTACACACAATAATGAGAGGCTGAATACCCTGGATAATGACAAACTTAGGGAGTTTTTCTGCCCACTCAGTGTTTCTGCACTGTGTTTCCTGGGATGCTCATTTCCAGGATATGCCGGGTTAGCTCCTAGGCAGTGATGCAGAAACATGCCAGCCCACCAGCAGCATCCCTGACCCCGAGCCCTGAGCAGAGCTTAGGTGGGTGTAGCAAGGAGAAGGCTGCACCACTGCAGGCTTTCTGGAGCCAACAGAATTGTATTCACACAGCACTGGGGCTATGTCCTGCCAGGTACAAGCTGGCTCTTTGCCCTGGGCACAATTTACCCACAAATTAGATAATCCAGCCATGGAAAATGAGAAATGGATCTTTCAGCTGTTCCTCTTGTAAAACTACCACCCTGCAGCAGCAATGGGGCGTGACCTAGGTGGAGGTGCTGTAGCTGTTGCTTCAACACCCTGCTGACCAAGTTCAGCACGCCTACACCCACAGCCTGAAAAAGCTAGTGCAGGTACCAGAAGCAAAACTTCAGGAGGGCTTTCTGCATGTATCAGCTATCCCAGTCATCCACCGCTTTGTATGCCTCCATCCCAAGGCAGCAGTCCAGCTATTTCTATTCAGTCCTGCCCTTTGCTGCCTGACCATGTCTTGGTTTGCTAGAGGCTTGCTCATCAGCACTCTCATCATCACGTCTCTTCTGTTCTCACTCCCTGACATACAGCTCTGTTTTGAAGTTACTTTAGGATTTAACTCAAGAAGCTTCTTAGTTAATTACTGACCTACCAATAAGAAGCTATATATAAAGGAAACTAAACACATACATAAATGCTTATGGGTTTCTGAAAATAGTCTTCTTGAGTGGAAAATAAGTGGCTAAATACCAGTGAATGTATGTGCCCAAACACGTGAGACTATTTCTATTAACATCTGTAAGTAAGGGGCTATCAGGGGACTTGCAGTTGTTCTGGGAAATGACACAGCCACTTAGCTGTAAAACCCCAGTATTTAGATGTGTAGCCCCCAGTACATCTGAAACTGCAGTCATAGGGACTCAGTTTTGTTTTTTTTTGCCCAGGATTATCTGACTAAATGAACCTCACAAAGCATTATGAAAAGGCTGATAAGTTCTGAATGTCATAAATTGAATTAACAAGACTTGTTTGTTGTTGTTGTTGTTGTTTGTTTTTGTTTTGTTTTGTTTTGTTTTTGTTTGTTTTGTTGTTTTGTTTCTCAGTGGATTTATTAGCTAGGTCCACTAGTAGATTTGATATCTGGACAAGATTTTTGCCAGTATACTTTATTCTGCCTCAGAAGGGGTTACTGTGGCAAGTCTAGACTTTTATTTTCAGAGAATCATTGAGAGAATCAAATCATTATGGATGATTATAAACTAGTAACACAGCTGAAACTTCTTGATAAACCTCTGTTGTTTGTACCATGTCGAGCTATTGTGCTGTTTCCATAAGTACTGGACTGGAAAATCACAAATAAATGTTAATCAGTTTCACTGAAACCAAATGTATTTACAGCATTGTTAAATCAGAAGTAGCCAGGAACTATGTATTGTTTCAATGTGTCTTTTGAACTCTGTCTCCTGTATTTATTCTAGATTTTTATATGTAATTTTTTACCAATAATCATCTGAGATAAAACAGTGTAAGTTCACTCAGGTTACCTTTACAGTTCTGAATACTTAGGTGGAATTGCAGATTATAGCCTGCACTTCAGTATCCTAGGGTATGATACCAGTCCTTTCTTTGATAATCTTGTGACTTCTGTGATCCTGATGGTCTCAATAAAATTTTCCTCTTAAAGTAACCTGACTTTTGTTTATCATCTCATTTGGCCAGGTCACACCAAGTGCTATTTTAGACATCCTAGACAGCTTTTGTTAAATTCCTGCACCCACCCCGATCAGAAAGGAGTCATGCTAATGCTCATTTCATACTTCTGCTTCTCCGTGGTCAGACTCACAGACTTGCTCTGTCACTAATCCTCTGGCTTCAGGGTGACTGTTCACAAAATAAGATGCTATTCACATTTAAGGCATCCAGCTCTTCAAAAGCTGTTTTACCTCTTTAAATCTGACTCTCACCTAACTAATCTGGTATTTATGATCTTTAGAGCCACTTAGTTTACTCCAGGCTACTAGTTGTAGCCCTTTTACTACAGTGCTGAACTGTGTAGGGAAACTGGAAAAAGTTGAGCCAAAACATCAGGGAAGTACTGCTTCACCTTCCAAAAGAGAAAAAAACTCAACAAATCTGACAGGCTAGTGCAAAAGGAGCATAGAAATCCCTACCAAAAAACATGTGGGAGGGAGCATATATTTAAAATAGGACCGCCTAATTCAGCTGCTAAATCACTGTAAGGAGCTCTCTATGTCTGTGTGTGCGGGAGGGAGAGGGAGAGACAGAGGGAGAGAGTCAGAAAGGGAGAGAGGAGCAGAGGGAGGGAGGAAGGGAGGGCAATGTGCCTTTCACAGAGCTGGGAGCTCGATGGGAATGTTTGATTAGCTCCTCTCTGAAAGAGAAAAGGTGTCCAGGCCTCCCTTCGCCGCCTGCCTCCGATTCTTTAGAATAATGTTGGCTGGAGTTTGTGGTACAGAAAAGCTGGGAAAAAATAGCACTTTCATACTGTGTGGAGGAAAGGAATAAAAAGTTACACACCTCAAGCAAGGTAATTTTGATGTTGTTTCTCTACTATATTTGTTTGTTGGGGAGAGGGAATATTGCCTTTTTGTGTGTTGATAGTAGTTATATTTTCACCGCTAAGAAACTGTAGGGACATAACTTTTTGTTTAACATTCCAGCTGTGTGCATAAGATCAAAGACTTAAGGAGATTTGGACATCGATGTAAAATGAAACTGTACTTTATATAGGTTTTATTAAGTTTTTATAAAAGCATTAAACCCCTACTGTTAAAGTGGACACACATGCTGAATAGCAAGGGCTTAACTCTTTCATAAAGCATGGTGTATATTAGTCACACACCAATAGACATATATATGCCAACGATTCAAATAGTGTGTAAGATGTAATATGACTTGTTCCCTGTGTTTAAAGTACTTTTGCTTTCAAGACTTTTTCTTCACCTCTTTGATCAATAGGGAGGTATGCGTTGTATCATTAATTAGCACTAGATGACTCCGGGGAACGCTAATCTACAGGACACAGAACAGAAAATAGCGTTATTCCACTCATATGACCTATACAGCATATTCTTTGCTAGTCGGATAAGTACAGATGCATGAGCTGTACAGTAGCCTAGACTCTATATGCCCCTTTGTGCCGAGCACTTGTTTTGCTGGTGAGGCTCCAAAAATGAATAGCATTGTCAAGCCTGCCACAGCCGTTCAGCTCTCTGTGGAGAGATTAAAGTCTCGATAAGTCTCTTCAAAATGTGATTTCTGTCAGACTAGTACAAACATGAACCGAATGCCCCAAGCAAACTTTCAACCCTACTTGATATTTTGTTTCTAGAGTTTATGGGAACTACGCCACATCCAGAGCAAAACAGGAGTTACAGATTTCAGAGGCAGATCCTCCTTTTCCTCTAACCCCTCCAAAATTTAAACGGAAGACCAAAAACAAGCAAGCACAGAGAAAAAGTTTCTTCAGTTTAGATGGTTTAGAAGATCTATTTGACTGAGAATAGCAATGGAGTCATATATGTTTATAGTGTGTGTTTTAGCATGTCAAAGATAAAAACACCTTGCACGACTCTCCTTGAAGACTGGCTTTTTGCTGTACCTGTAGTACCACGTCCTTCAGTCCTTGCTCAGATTATCACTTGAATTAAAGTGATTACTATAAGACTGGTCTCTCGGAAATGCAGAGCTCAAGGAAAAATAATGTGCACATGCAAAAAGGATTGCATGTGCACATTAGTTTCTGAATATTGAATTGGTATCTTATTACAAAGACTTATTTTCCTTCCATATTTTATCTAGTGCTTTGAGTTGCTGGGGTTGTTCTCACTGGGGTGTTGGAAAAAGCTTCCCGTCTTTCTGTTATTCAAGACATAGGAGTATTTAATTAATTGGAGTGAAAAGAAAAAAAGAAAAAAAAATTAAAAAACCTTGATGTTTTACCAGTATAATTGAATATTGCATTGTGCTTTTGCCTGTAGCAGGAATTTCATGTTCTTAACTCGCTCGCTACTTTCTTCAAAACACTTTCTTCTTTGGCAGTATTTTTGCACAAGACTTACCACTGCTGATTGAACTAAGTAGTTTTACAACCAACACCATCAAGGAAACTGTTTCCTCAAACTTGGGATGCAAGAATGAGTCTCTGTGGGTTCTCTGATGCCTAATAAAGAATGAGTTCCTACTGAAGTCTCTCATTTAGTGGGAACATTAACAAAGATTAACATTCACCCCTTCACCCAGCTACTTACTTTCACAAAAGTAGTAGGAATTTAGTAGGAAATTAATTTTTAACATTCCCTTTAGTTAAACTTGATTACTTTGAGTATTTCTGAAGAAGACTGGGTGAGACACAATGTAAACACAGAAGATGGGAAGAGTCTGATTGCTTCAGGTGAAAGAACAGAATTATTTGCTATTTCTGGCCATTGCTTTTTAGAAAACACTGCTAAATATAAACCTGAAGTTTATGTAACAGTGGCATCAAGGACTTGACTGTACCTAGTCTGTCTGGAGAAATTTAATTTTTTCCTATTCACCCCAGAGTCACAAATAGAGGTTTAGAAAGAAAATACTGCCCAGTAACTTACATGCTAACTCAAGACCTAGGATACACGTGCTCACATCTCTGCTCCTAACTGATGATAGGCAAGATATTTAGGATAGCCAAACGAACTGAGCAATAAAATGGCTAGTTCAGCTTACTATCCACAACTGTGACTGTATTCCTTCTCCGGCATCTTGAGGCTAAATACACAGAAACACAATGCTCTGGCACACAAAGTCACCAAATCCCCATACCAGAGATTTTGGGACTGGGATGGGCAGATGCTGGATCAGCAAGGCGTGTGTTGGCCCACTGCAGTGGCGTGGGGAGGCACTGTATTTTCTGGACAGGTGGTCCAGGGTTTTCTGAGAGTCCCGGGAGATGTTCTGGCCTCCTGAAGCTCTGGGTCCACCAGGACTCCTCTGACGTGCTGCAGCATCACGTCACATTCAGGGCTTGCTGATCTGGGTTGGAAAACAGAAACACAGAACAAAACAGAAATAAACGCAAAACTAAAGTTAGTTGGTTGGTTGCGTTTTATTTTGCCCGCCTTGAGTAGTTTTCAAGGCCCACAGGGAGAGATAGGTGCTTAGCACCTCCTTAAACACTTCAGTCACTTTTTTGAACTTGCCTGCACACAAGGAGCACGTTGTTCCTGTGCTGTTGGCCTTGGGTGCCTGTGCTGGGGGATTCAGCTGGGGTGTGGGACAATGCAGCCAGTGTTCAGGGCCCGATTGTCACACGGAGACTATAATTATCTCCCTTCTAATGACCAGCCAAGCAAGATAACAGTTTTTATGCTATGTTTAGAAAACAATGTCTTACTACAAATTGGTGGTTCATTCGCCTGTAAAAGAGCCTCTCTAACTGTCTTGGAGCAGATGCCATTCTTTTCCATTCTGATTCCTTTATTTATTGCACATTTCACACTCGGAAAACTTGGGTGAATGCTGTGCAGGCAGTGCAGCCTCCCCATGTCACTGAAGATGGCAGAGCAGTGCAGAGTGCCCAGAAAACCTGCGGCTGTTTCGGTTGTATCTACATCAGTAAATTGAACTCTGACCGTCTGGCTCATGACAGCCTGCATCTTGTGGGTGAACTCTTTTAGCCCCCAGCCCAACAGGGCTGCGCGTGCGGCTGCAAGCTCTGTGGGAGGGAGCAGTAAGGATGCTTCTTGCAGACTCCCTATAATGCCCTGCAGTGGCAAAAAGAGAGGTGTGAAGGGGCTTGCGATGGGTAACACAGCAGTGTGTATTGCAGATGAGATTTTACCCACAGGCATCCTGGGGAGACTTCTGACATGGTGTAGGCTCCTAAGGCATCTGTGGGGGTAGCTATACCCACCAGCAACGACTGCAGACTGTGGCTATGTCTGACCCTTGCAGACAGGGAGATGAATCAGAAGTGGGCAGTCACGACGGCGACACTCATGGTTTAGCTACCTGAGTGTTGGCTCAGGGCTCTACAAACATTCAGCACTAAGCTCTGTGCTGGGGCAGCCGCAGATTTTGTGGTGTCTGAGGGCTGCTGCCACATCCCCTGCCGGGTGCCCTGCCAGCAGAGCAGCACAGCTGCCCGCTCCCTCTGCCCACAGCCTGCTCACCTTACCTCTTGCCACCTTCTCTGAGCTGGCATCTCTGCACAGTAGCAAGGATGTGACTGGGTCATTTTTTTCAGCAAACGAGCCCTGGAAAAAGCCAGAAAGAAGATTTCCAGATCAGAAACAAGATTTCCCAATGAGTAGGAACCAGCATTTTAAGTTGGAGCTATATTTTAATTAGAATAACAACACCATCTGCAGATTTTGCTTTCACCATTGAAGCAGAGCACCCAAATCTATAGCTCATCCCCCAAACTGGGAACACATTTGAATCAGAAGAGTGTTTATAACCATCCTTGCTTCGTTCAAATCAAGATCTAAGCAGGTCTTAACCTGCCAAGCCTTACTGTCCTGACTGAACTGGCTTTCTAGTAACCATTAAGCCCATCCTACCTCTGCTCTATCTCCAGAGCAGCAGGGTGCATTAAGAGTTCAGAGGCACATTAACAGCACTATCTATGTCAGCTATCCTTAATGTGTCTCATTCTACAGGACATCCCATGGATACAGATATAAAAAATACTTTGAAGATGCAAACTGCATTTGGAAACTGTATTTTGGCCTGTCACCCTATAAAATAGCTTTGTAAATGCAATGCATGTAACACAGCAGCCAACAGTTTCTCAGCTGGCAGCTGGTTTCCTATGAAAAAATTCATAATTGCCAAGTGACAGTTTTACATGAGCCAAAATTTCTGGTAAAATTCTGAATGATCTTTGTGTAGCTTCACACAATCCTTTAATGTCCCCACCAGGATGCATTGGGGATTTCCAGTGCCTCCGGGCTTGTACATAAAACTGTGGAAATTTTTACCTCTCCAAAATCACTTGTTTACAGGGAAGTTTGAATGCGGCCACGTCTGTACCTCTGGCTCTCTCTGCCAGGTTCCCTTAAGGATTCAGAAGGCTCCGTTCTTTCTCTTTTCACCAAATATGCAGCTTACCCTGGAGTCAGTAGAAGAAGGGTGAGACAGAGGAAAGCTGGCAGCAGCGCTGTGTATCCTGGCCCTGGTCACCTCCAGTGAGTCAGAGTTACACCAGGGTAAGGGATCCACGACTCCGTTGGCTGTCAGCACCACTACCAGCCAGCTTAGGATGACAGGAGCCCACCTTGCTCACCCAGGTGGAAGCCCACCTTGCTCACCTCTCTGGAAATGCATCTGCAGCACGCTATTATTTTGTTCTCCCAGGCTTGGTGGAAGAAGCATTTGAACATGGAAGGTATAAAAGGAGAGAGACTGGTTGGAGATGAGGTTAAATGGAGAGAAGGAGAGGAGTGTCCAGACGAGGAAGGGAGGAGGTTATAGAAATTTAGAGTAATTGCTATGAAACAATTTGGTGCAAACAGAACTGCTTCTGAGGTCAAATATAGGTACCACACGTGTACTCATGAATCTGCCAGGAATGAAAGTGGACACCTGACATTTTCCACAAGCATGGGGTAAGCACCATGCCCAGGTCAGACAGATGTTCTCTCACCCTACTCTGGGGGCAGTCTTTCTACCAAAATGCTTCTCAAAATATGTGGTGATTTGGGATGTAGCATCTCAGGTTTCCATGGTCTACATCTTTGATTCTCACAGGCAAAATTTGTGCATCTAAAGAATAAATTTTAGGCAATAACTAGAAGTTTATATGGTAGTCTCTTCAAACCAAAGTTCAGAACAAAATTCCTGAGCATGGAAGTAGATTATGCAGTATTAAGGTCTGCAGGCTTTGTTCTGTTTTTAAAACAGACCTTTCACCCTAAATTACATGTTCTTGCTCTTGATCACCTGTTTGCTCCCAATCCATGCGATTAGCACAGTTTTCCTTTTTGATCTTGGGTTCTCAGAGACAATGATTCATCTCTATGCCAAAACAGCAAGTTTTAAAAGTTTCTAATGGGCAAAATTATTAAATCAGTATCAGCCTGGTCTTCAGATGTATTTCTCAAAAATTTCTGGCTGCACCTATGCTGTCACAGTATCCATGGCCAAGCTCTGGATGCCATGTTCCATGCCACCACATTCACTAGCTCTTTATCTGCCTCCAGGGCACTCATACACATAAAGGATACAGTTTTGGAAGCGTAACCACCTGCCGTGTTGTCTGCATGCCCTGTGTGCTAGACAGCCCACTCCTGCCATCTGCCAAGGGCTGCCAACACGCATAACGTAGGGCTGCACAGCTTGGCCTGCATGATGTCAAGTCTCTGACCAGCAGTGCCTCTTCAGAAACCCCTAACATCCTCATTTATATTTGCTGGCACCCATGCAAACCTGTAGCTCACTTTCATCTCAAAAGCAGCATGGAGTCCCAGGATATCTTCTGCAATCATTAAAAAGCAGAAATAATATTCACAGGACCACTGTTTTCAAAAGGCTCCACACAACAGCCACGTCTAGTGATAGCCCTGCCTGATTTGCTGAAGATATTTTGTGTACGATATTTCCTTAATCAAGTCACCATTACTAGGCATCGATCAATTTGACTGCTTACTGCCTTATCTAAAACCAGTGCCACATGCCAGGAGGGCTCCAGTTAGTTTTTTTAATTGCGTATGTTTTATGAATCCTTATCCAACCAGTCCATGGCTTTGGCATGAGTAGTTGTGCTGAGTGCAGGAGATACTGAATTGATACAGCATCCATTCTGGTTTTCTGTGAGATGCTGTATAAGTTTATCAGCATGCTTAAGGACTGGGTTTGCTTTCAATTTGGAGATAAAATTCACTTTTGCAGTAGAGGGATACATGTAGCTTTAATAAGCAGAGCATACACATCCTACATTTTCTCTAAATTTCTGTGTCTAAATTTCTACCAAACAAAAAGGTGTCAAGCTGTGTCTCAACATGCTACAAAAATTCCCCAAACCATCTCCAGAGTGATGTGCAGTTTATTCAGTGCCTTTTACACAAATTCTTCACTTTTAGGCCAAATATGTACCTTCGGGGGAATTCTGACACACTACAATAATTCTTAGCTTGCAGGCAGCACAATAGCGTGGTTATTCAGTGCTTGTTTATTGTGCATCCAAACTGAGAAACCACATATTGCACTTTCAAAAGTCACTTTGACTTTTCAGAACTGGGTGTTTTGTTGAAAATAGAAACACTTTTTTTTTTTTCATAAAAAGTGAAAGAAATGTGGCCAAGAATCTTACTCTCCCTACCTAACACATCCCTCAGGCACTGCTGGATTGCAGATATTCCCATTCCCTTCATGTCAAACATTCGCTCTCGGTTTCTTGGGAACACGGCACTGCCAGGACTGACAGTACCCAGCTGGGACCTGGCTGGTATTAGGGAGAAGTAATTAAATTAGGAAAGGGAAAGAGGTTGCCCTCAGCAGTGAGCAAGTTCCAGTGCACAGACAGAGCAGGGCTCAAGCCTGGGAGCAAGGGGAGGAGATACACGAGATACGAGAGCTGTGGGGGACGGACAGACAGAAGGTAGTTGTCTGGACAGGGCTTCACAGGTCGGAGCTAACAGCGATTCCCAGTGAGCAATAAAAGCTGTGCATTGAAATGAAAAAATGTAACATAAAATAATACGTTATTAAATGTAAAAAGAAATCAGGAAAGCATGGTGCAATGACCCTCACAGATATAGTCATCCAGATATTCCAAACTGTATTTTCTCTGTGAGTGGGTGACATATCCTAACTGAATTTCTTCCTCTGCTGGGAGGAACAGATCAGGCCAGCATAATTGGTGGTTATCTCTGTGAGACAGATGAGAAAGTATAATCATTGCAGTTTTATTTAGGCCCTCAGAAAGGTCTGGCAAGTTAAATCACACTATAGTTTTAAATAAATTACCTTCTTCTAAACGAGCTCTGTGGAAAGCAGAGAAACCATTTGTCACTGTTACTTCAGCCTTATGTTGGTTTAATTTCAGGGCACTGCATGAATATAAAATGAGAAGCACAGGGCTGCTTGGGTGTTTTTATTCAGCTCTAAATTGCTGGGTATAGCATCGTCATTTTACCTACCTGACTGGAGCTGTTTTGGACTAAATTCTTCTTGAAAATCCACATGTAAACGTTTCTTAAAGTGTCTCTGGAATAAATAGAAAAGGGTTTGTGTGCCCCAAGTGCAACTGAGGTAGCATTGGGACCTCTGAAACCCAGGGAGGGTCCCAGGACCCTATGTCCTCCTCCCCACCTATGTCCAAACCACAGAGCAAGGCTCCTTTGGCATCTTCACAGCTCTTATAGACTTGACCATGCAGTGGTCAAGTTTCATCAGAGAGGGGAGAATGTGCCCAGGCATCCTTGGCACCCTCTCAAAAAAATATTAACTCTCTTCACACTCACAGACCACTCAATAGGCTGAACAGCCCAACCTGAGCACAGTGACCACACGCTGGCACCAGTCAGCTGAATTTCTTTGAGAAACAGAGCTGACAGCTACCTCGGTATAGCAAGATGGTGGAAAGCAGCACATCTTCAGGCAGCAGAGCAGTATGTAAGCCCTCAGCTCCCATCTCTAAAGCAAAAGGCTTAAAATGCTAAGCAGGAACAGCAGCAACCACCAGCCTGCTGTTGAGGGTGTGACAACCCACGGGGGGGAGGACAACTGTGGACCAGTGTGGGATTCCTGTGGCCACAGGGAAGAGATGACAAGGAGCCTGTGGCTACTGCTCAGGTGGTAAAGGCTTTTTATTCAAAATGAATAGTCCTGCCTATGATCCTAATGCTAGCTGTGCATGTTACACAAAGACACTGAGGCAGAAGTGCAAGCTGTCCACAGGCTCAGAAACTCATCCAGCAGAGGTCTGGTTGTTCATTTTATCACACGCACAATTGCTTCATGTGCAACATCTATTATTTCTTCCAATTCCTCCACCACTGTGGAAACACCTGCAGACATAAAAGCCTGTGTTTCCTCATCAACTCTTTCTGAGGTACTGGATAACTTAGCAAAGTGAATCTGAGTACCGCCTCCAGGAGGTAATTTTGGGTTCTCAGTCCTACATGTATTTCCACAGAGGCACCTACCCCTAGCTGGGACAGGGATTGTCCTTTTGTCTCTTCCTGCTGTTTGGCCAAGCCTCCTGTTTGCAACCAAAGCCCAAGCTCCTCTGAAAGCTGAAGAAGGTTTAATTATGCACATGGTACAGGAGACTCTGAGTTTCTTACTGACACTTCCCACAAACAGTGTGGGCAATTTATTTGTTTTCTTCTCTTTGATCTGATAAGGTATGAAATGTCCTATCCTTGCAGATGGTGCTAGTGCAGATACGAGCTTTCTCTTGCTTCAATTATAGCAAGTTCCTTCCAATTCCCTTCATATATGAAAGAAAAGAGTTGAGCTTTCCCTCATCTTTTTTATAACAGAAGGTAATGGTTTCTATGATATTTTTAAATCCCTGGATGAATATATTTTATTTCAGGCCGTTACAAGACAAAAGTCCAGCATCCCATGCAAATGAGCTCATGCTTACAAGCTAGCATTTTGAGACTTACTTCTGTTAACCAGTGTCCTGACCTAGGATACCTTCGGCACAATCTAAGCTTCTGGAATGAAATACAGTTATCACCACTGCTTTTCTAGCTCAGCAGAACTCACTACCTGTCTTTTCAAAATAAACTACCATTTGGATTTTTTTTGTGTATAGACTTTCAGAGCAAATCAGTGCACTGAGTGAACAGCATTCCTTCCCTTTGAGGAGAAAAGAGACAAAAGAAAATTGCATGTGACAGGTATTAGCCCTATTACCCAGTGTGCACCAAAATGCACAGCTATATTATAATGGCGAGCAAGGTACTATACTATGGGGACAGAATATGAACATGAAACCAAGAAAGAGTGAAACATTTTTTAAAAGAAACAATAGGAAAATAAATAAATAAATAAATAAAATCTTTTATCTGCAAAGACGATGATAAGCTTGTTTATCTGAACCGCTATACTCACACCTACACCAAACCCACTTGATTTTCCTGTAAGGAGCACATATCTAACTCAACCCACAGTGCTCTAAGATGGTGTTGTTAACTCCAAACTACTTGCTCAAATAGCTTTCAAACAAAGTCCACTTCTGTTTTTTTAACAGTGCCAGTGTTGCTGCTGTATTATAACCTCTTGAGAAGGAGAACAATAGCACGCTTTATTGTGGTACAAAGAAAGTACAGAAATTAATTTCTGCAGCACAGGAGATTACAGGAAACAAACTGCTAACGCCTGCAGAGTCAAAGCACATGGCACCAGCAAAGAATTTCTGTTTGCACATGTAATGGACAGCAATGCCTTACACAAAACATCAAGGACTTACTTAAAACCTGCGCTTCCATCAGCAAAAGTATAGTTTTCCATACAGTAACAGTTTATACAGATCAAAACCATCTGTTTGTTTGTAGAGGTTCTTTCATGTAGCAGCTCCCTGAGAGCTTTATAAGAGCCGAGCTGCTATTAAAAGGCATAAAAACCTGACTTTATATCCTAAAAGAATGGTTTGCTAACTCTGTCTTTTCACTGGCATTTGAGCTTTTTCAAATATTTTTAGCACAGGAAAAAGGAATCAACATTCTTTCAAATAGAAATTTGATTTCAAAATGTTAGGATGGGGCTTACACTTGGAAACACTGAAGGAGATGCTTTTTACTGCATTTGTGCGTGACTTAACATGGGTTTAAGCAGCATTGATATAATGCACATACACTGCTTTCCTGGTATAGTAATAGCATCTGTTATGGTGGTGAGAAGGATACAGATGAGGAAATGTACTAGGAAAAAAAAAATCCAGCATAAAGTTTGGGAGATTTAATATTGAATGGTCACTAGTTAACCAACTAGGACTGCAAATAATTAATGGAAATCTGGTAAGCATAGCTGGCATTATCTCTCAGTTCATGAAGAGTGTCACAGAAAAGGAACATAAGATGCCAGTGAATCAGGGCTCCCAAAATATCATCCATTATTCTGGTTTACTAATGAGACACAAACTGAAAAGATGCTTTAGCATCCCATTGCTGGGAGTGAAAGGAGCCACAGCTACTGGACATAGCAAACATAACCAGGGCACTGGACATTATAACTTTTTTTTTTCTTTTTCCCATTTTGTGTGTTATGACAGGAATTTCATGAGGCTGGAAAACTAAAATTATGTAAAATCCCTGCTGCGGTCCCCCAGCAGGGGCAGGAGACTGGGCTGATGAAGGGCAGGTAGTCAGGCACAGCACCACAGACACCAGAATGCAAAGACAAGGAAACCCAGCCCATGGGAACTTCTCACAGTAAGATAATACAGGGAAAAACATATAGTCCAAGACAGCTGGAAGAAGATGTTTTTTGGCTTGACTTTCCACTGAAAAAAAAAAAAAAAGTCTGAAGAAAACACAGTTTCCTCAGTGAAAACTCTCAGAACCTGACTGGGAAGCCAGGCATTAGGAAAGACCTTGCTATTAACCAACTATTGATATCTTCTCTCACTCTTGGCTTTTTAAAAAATATCCCAAATGCATTTTCCCAGCTAGAAGTTAATAAGTAGGACACAGCATGCTCCTGTGCTGGCTGACTAATTATCCTTCAGAAATGTCTGAAAAAGGTACAGTAATCACATTTTTATTAATGCATTAGTAATAATGCCACACAGATTAGTATTAAAAATATTTTAAACATATCATGTTTTAAATGGCTCTTTACTCTGAACTGAGTACTCTAAACTGTAGTAGAGATGCCATAGGCAGAAAGGAGGAATACAAAATCCATGAGAGAAAGACCATGTGAGATTTTGATATCATTTATCCCAGCTATGGAAACAGCAGACACACTCCTCTTGTACATAAGATTTCTTATTTTGGCTTTCTTAAAGTTAATGGCAATATGGGTTATTCTCTTATGCATCTGTGCGGCCCCTTGCATCACACTTCTGAAGGACAGGTGGTTTAACCAGGTGTTGATAGCAGGGAGTCAGGATAAGAACTGCAGAAGGCTGAGGTGTAAATTCATGTGGCCACTTGATGGTAAGTTTGTGGTAACATCAGTGGATCACTTTGATCGGTTATTTCTCAGAGGTGAGATCAGATTGCATATAATAGGTGTTTGAAGGGCATGAGGTTTGAATAATCTTCAAAACAAAAATAAGATCTGGGATCAAAGGGGAGGATCAATACCAGACCTACACGAAGCACATCCTACTTTAGCAGAAAACATGGAAAATCAGGCGAATTGGGGGTTTTCTGTATGGTTATTGAAATAAAACAAAAATATTTAAAGACTTTGGTGTGTAAACCTCTGTCTTTCACAGACAAGTTAATAGTTGCATGCATGAAGTGGTGATATTAGGTTCCCAAGAAAAAAATCTAGGGTGTAAAAAAAAAAATATTAAACACACTGAGACTTACAATGGTAGATAAAAGGAGAAATCTCAGCAAAACTCATACTATAGATTAAACCAAAGCAGAAACTTCAGTTTTTGAGTTAATGAGATCTATTAGTTTTGTAAAGTAAGAAAGGGACACTAGCTTCTTGTTTAATTGCAAAGTGTCATTCTCAATCTGCAGACATCCCCAAAGCTGCCATTGAATTTAGACTAGAGGGCCAGTCATACACATAGGTCCATTTGGAAGATCAGAGCCCTACTTCCTCTTTTCTTCCCAGAGAAAGACAAAAAACACCATTTTATTCCAGACTTTTGCTCCTTTTAAGATTTTGAAAGTAGCGGATGCCATGCTAGCCCACCATATAGGAGGTCTCATACTACCTATATATAGGATATCTGCACATTTTTCCTGGTATACCAATGCCTAACATAGAAATTAATATAATTGGAAAAATAAGTTTCTTTATTAAAATTTATTTCCATCAGGATGCCAGTAAAAGCTGAACCAGCAACAGCACAGTCCCCAGTAGCATGCTTTTGAGAGTAGCTCTGACAACAAATCTGTCAGGTAAATCGAACAGCCTTGCCTAAATGCTTCTATTAACTTTCCTGTCGGTAAAATACCTGTTATTGCAGGCTAAGGAGTCTGCTGAACTCATTTGCCTCTTGATAGACTTTATATATGAATTCTATTTAGATTTCTTGGCCTCTTTCTACCGGACATTCATAGTACTTCATTGCCACCCAGGAGAGCTGGGATGGTGCCTGGTGCAGCTGGCCTTGGGATGGTCGGGCATGGGGACAGCAGGGCCTTTGGAAAGCAACAAGAGCTCTTGTGCAGCACTGGTGGTTTATATATTTTGTGAGATGGGAAAAGTCAGGCAACATTGGACTCTGTCCACAGCAAGGCACACAGCAATCCACCCGTGAGGCAGCTTTCACATGTATCCTTCACTATCCCATCCCTCTTCTACTCCAGTTAAACTGGAGATGAAAGTGTTTTAGCACTAAGCCAAATACTGTCAAGACTAATTCTCACAGCTCTCTCTGACTTTAAATAAAGATGCCACTGCTGATTTTACTCGCTATAGATTTGGGGAATGCCCAGTCAACACCAGCACAGCCTTTAAAGGTGTATGGTATTTCTGCAAGTGGCCAGCAAGTCCCTCAGTCTGCATCTCCTATTCCTGGGATTGAGCTGAAGTAAGAACTGATGTGGTCTTGCTGCTACTGCTTGCACAGCCTGGGGTTATCCCTGACCATGCTGCCCACTATTCTGAGAAGGACACAGCCCCATGAGCAGCTTTCCATGCCCCGGGATTCAGCTTGGTGGCTTCTAGGCAACTTCTGCTTCTCTCCACCTTAGCAGTTAGCAGGTTTTACTGAGATTGATGAGGAAAGGTGCAGTACCAAAATTTCCAAGCAATACTGTTAACCATAGTTGCTGGCATTTTGAGTTCCCTGACCATAATACAGAAGCAGAAATTGGAGGTACAGCTGGCTTGTGTAAAAACAGTTATAAATTATATAGGCCTACAACTGGATGAACTCAGTTTAATCTGGCAAACTATTTTCATCTTTCTCACTCAATAAACATGTGGTTTTCTTGAAAAAGAAGAGCAATTAAAATAAAAAATGTGGAAACATTGACTTTGAGGAAAGATTGTGGATTTTTTCCCTCTGCCCTATATCTGTCTTGTCCTTCTAATTTTCCTTCCTGAGGTGGGAGAAGCCCAGGTCCGAGTACACAAATCTCTGAGTGGAATCTGTCACTGCCATGTTTTCCAGGAGGCAGACAACTTGTTTTCCCTAACCGTTTCCAGCTTTAGTACTTACTCTCTATACTTTCTTTGATAGCAAGCTAATTTTGACTTTAGTGCAAAGCTTGCCATTTGTAAGCATGTAATCAATTTTCTTTCATTTTGCTCCTTGAGTTTTTCCTCTACAACACACAAATATTTTCTCACTCTCTGATATTTGTTAGGCATTTTGTGGTATTTTAATGACTGATGTTAATTACAAGCATCCAACCCAGGATTTCCCCAGCAATCATAATATAATGAACACTTGCTACTAGAGGTAAGGAATTAATCCTCATACATTGTGATGATTTCCTCTTTTTTGTTTCCTCCTATGCCTTGTTTAAAGTAGTGTCTCCTAATTTGCTAGAGATTAAAAGCTTCACTTCTCAAGCTCCGTAACTCATTAGAAAGACAGTTTAAAAATACAATTATTTTTTGTTTTCATTGTCATGCTAAACTTCTATCCACTGACTGCTCAAACACTACTCATTCAGCCCACTTGTAACTCTTTCAAATTCAAAGAAACAGTGGGCACGTCAATAAATGAATGCAAATAAAGATAAAAATATTCCCCCATATAACATCTCCCAGATGTTACAGAGGGGAAAAGTGACCACAAAAGCAATATGGGAGGTGATGCTCAGGAAAAAGAGGATACCTGTGATAAGCCTGTAGTCTTGTAGTCTGGACAAGAGCTTCAGGAATGGCAGACATCAGGAACTGCATACGTAGACCCAGAGAAAAATGTTGTCCAGATGTTCCGAGACTCTTCTCATTCTCAGGCATGTTCTCACACACACACAATAAGGAAAGGAAATAATCCCGTAATTTGGCTCAAAATCAATGATGTGATTACAAGATACTTTGCACAACTTGCTTCAAGAGTAAGCAAATTTATGTTCTCCTTACATTTGTGAAATTATGGGGTGCAATTGGACATGCAGACAGTACAAGTCTGCGAATACTCCCTAGAAAACTAGCAAATGAACTTGAATAGCTGCATGAGCATGTCCATATCTGTCATGTCCTCTGTTACCACTGGCTTCAGAAATAAGTATGAAGGATGAAATCTTGGTTTCACTGAGGAAAAAGGCAAAACTTGGACAGAAGGAAAAAAATTAGGCCATGGTTGTTCCACAGACCAAACATCTCTTCAGGGGGACATCAGCTGCTCTGCAAAGCAGACAGCTCAGGAGAAAAGAGCACCATACATGAGGACTGTGAGATGTTGAAGAATAACGCACAGTTGCTATTCCCCAATGTTTCCAGTATCATTTATCATAACTCTAAATACAGCCTCTTTTTTACAGTACTCTTTTTTTTTTTTTTTTTTCCTTTTCAGTGCTCCTTACTGACACATCCAGACTTTGCTTTAATCACCATGAAGGCCTCAGTTATTGTGATCTTCTTTGGTAAGTACTAAAGCTGTGCTACAATTAGTAGTTTGTGGATTTGTACACCCTGTCCTGGCTGACCAGTGACTCCACTGCTGATGAAGCTCTCTGTGGAAGGTAGAGTACGCCTTGACACAGCTTTTCAGAAACGGTATCCAAACTTCCAAACTTTTGCATAGAAATAATATTAATTATTTGCAGAGCTCTCTAAGCATATGGCCATAGCTGAACACAGTCCACATCAGATGGTACCACTAATGCTGGAAAATATCTGTAACTTAAAGATTCCCTATAAAGAAAAATCAGCTATTTATTTCATACTGTGGGAGCACCCCCCGTTTACCCCTTTCTCTGAGAACACAATCTCTGAGAGATTTCCATGACCAAGAAGGTGCCAAATGAAAATGCTTATAAATGTGTTCTATTTTCTTTCCTCTGGATGTCAGATGAGATCGTACTTTCTGGGAAGGCACAGAGATTCCAGAATTTGCAATAGGTCTGACATGAACAACCTGGTTGATCGGGCATGGCTGCTTTGTGTAGTGTACTAGTGCAGTTATCACCCTTTGATGGCGCTACAGCCATCATGTAACCTAATGCTGCTGTATGACTTTAATTGCAATCTTCCCAGGTAATGCTCCATTTAGCTGGGACCCTCCAGCCTGGCAGGATATCCATGTTTAGTTTAACTTCATAGTTACATATGTTGTTCTTTTGTCTTTACTATGAAGACGATCTTCCTCCACATTAAATGAGGCCCTAACACAGCGTGCAGCTGGGATTTTGCACTTTCTTTTCCATTGCTTCTATTTTTTTTCTAAGTACAATTTCTCTTCACACAACTTTACCAATGTCAAGAAGACCTTCTACTTCATCTATATGCTGTAGCTTCAGAAACAGTGAGACTGTTTTTACTTTTGAGCAGGTTGTAACAGTTACTGTCTGCAAACACTTGCAACTAGTCTAGGGGCAGAAGATTATATTAAAAAGAAGATAGAGAGAGAGAGAGAAGAAGAAACATTGCTGTTGCTGAGTCAACTCTTCATAGAGAGTTTTATTTCACTCTAAAAGCTCAGAAAAGAAGGTGAATAGGAAGGCCAAGACATTTGTAACAGTTATTACCCACAACTTAGTGCTTATAAACACAGAACTGTTTGTACATCAAACACTTAGCAAGTAAACCCAGCCAGCTAAGCAGCATACATATATAGTGATGTATTTTTTAACATAACTGTATGTCTCTTCTTCAATCACACTTTTCAAATCACAATTCTACTTACTTAAGGAAAGCAGTGTCCTTGCTGGGACAGGGTATTGGACATGCCACACTGGAATCTCATACATTTCACGATGTTCCTGGTATCCCATATCCACTACCACCACTGAGTAAAATGCCACAACATGCTCTTATAGGATACCATCCCTGCATAGGCTATTAAAATGTATCTTTCTCTCCCTAAATTCCTAGCTGTTTTATGCACAGAGCGTGTTTCACTGGTATCTCTATACACCAATTGCAACGAGTTTCTACTGCTCTTGGAGATACTTAGGCTTTTTTGTGATTTTCTGGAAATGCCTGGACTTAATGGCATATTTTGACATGAGTTCCACCGATTAATGTGCAATCAATTGATGTTGAATCCCCTTCAGAAAGCTCCCCCACAGTAGATGCCATCTTGACTGAAAAGTTAACCAACAAGTTAACCAACAAATCCCATGAAGAAGGTGACTGATGCTGGTAGTTCCTTTTTTTCTGATACTATGTTTTCTTTGTTCTAGGTGTATTTCTTACATGTACATATGCAGCCAAGGAAGCTACAAAGAAGATTAAAAAGGCTAAGCTATGTAAGTGGTCCCATTAGTGTGCCTAGCTGCTTTACTGCAGGCAAGACTGATGCATAAACGTGTCCAAAGTGAAGTCATATTCCGGTAACTTCACAATCCTTTGCAGAGTCAATAGGAACATACATTAACTAACAAATTCTACTGAAGTCAAATCACTGAAATGTGTGCTACTGTACACTTGTAAAGAGGATATTGTGCATTTCACTATTAAAATGTATCTTCATAGGTCCCAAGGTACCATACACACTTACTTTAGAGAAACAAACACTGAAAATCAGAAGTATCCCCAGGCTTCTTCAGTCCACCCTCACTTACAGCCACAACCCTTGGCACACTGGTTGTTATGTGATATATTGTAGATACAGAAGACATAGACATCTCTTGTATCACAAAAGCATTGGTATAAGTGCATAAGAGGAGGGCATCCCTGTCACTCAGTTACTCATTATTTTCATGACAAGATAATTAATCTATGAAAACATTCAGTTTGACTTTACCAGGATTTTGTCCTCACAGACGTACCACAGATCGACTGTGATGCCAAGGCAGGGAAGATAATCAATCCTGAATTCATTGCAAAATGCCCTCCGGGATGTCAAGATGTAAAATACCGTGTGTACGGCACAGACATTTATGCTTCTTTTTCCAGTGTGTGTGGTGCTGCAATTCACAGGTGAGTGGTTTTAAGTAAGCCAGGCACCCTGAGAGAATCATCATCTCAGTGTGGGGAGCTCTTGGCCATTCAGGTCCTTTAAAGTTCCCAGTGCCTTGTAGGTTTGATTGCAGGCTGCTGTTCTAGTGAAAAGCACGTCAGAAAGACCACATGTGATGCAACGGATCCTGTTTTATGAAGTGCTGTCAATCCTCTAGTCCTACTGAAATCAATCATGTCTGAAAGTGTTTTTCAACCTTAGGATAAATGTTTTGATTTTTTTTCAGATCTGCCATTCAAGCATAGCAAATGACTATTATACTATTATTATTCAAGTAGGATGGAGCTGCTGCTACTAATACAGCTTTAGAAAAAAAAAAAAAAGAAAAAAAGACATATCACTGGCAATGAATACATACAACTCACATACTTCTGGGACTGGTTTTGGCTCTCTAGATTTGAATTTAGCTGTCATTGATGTCAGAGGCTGAGTAATGTGCTTTTCTGCCACAGAAGGAAATACTGGACAAGGAAATGTATAATGCAGAATTTATAGTACAAATTATACCAAGTTTAATTTGCCATGCAAAAGTGTGCAGATATTTTTAATGGAGAATAACTTCACAACCAAAACACACCATAATTGCAGGCAGGATGCAAAAGCAGGATGCATTCAGCTGAAAATGCAGGAAGAACTTGTAGAGTCTGATCGACATCTTGGCCTCATTCAGAGTTATCATAATGCTTTCAGTTCTGAGAAATACCTGGGAACCTGAGTAAGCTTGAATAGTTCAGACTTTGGGACTTTGTACTTTATTTGAAAACACATTCCCTTCATATTACATTAGGGAACTGTAGCAGCACTGAGAAAGGAAAATTGTTCATGAATCTTAGGCAACACCAGCTGCACCACCAGTGGGAATTTCTCTGCCCTCCTTCCTTTCTCAGTCCCAGCCCATGAATTGCTCTATCTTTGTAACAGCTTACTCCAGTATGACCTGCTGAGATGAAAAACTGTGTTAATGCAAAGCTTTTGATTGCCATGGGAAAGCATCTCCAAGTCGATAAGAAGATGCAAAGCATTTCGTTTCCTTAACTGTCTGCTGTGAATTTTTACTTGAACCTGTAAGAAGACAAAAGCTCTGCTATAGGGGGCGATGCCCACGAGGAGACAGTGAAGCCCGTGCTGGACCGAGGACGAACGAAAGATGCTGTGGATGAGAGCCCACCACGAAGCCGCACCTCCCGGCAGAGGTGTGCGCAGCGCTGCCATCTCCTGGCTGCAGCTGCCCTGCTCAGCCCCTTGCTGGGAGATGGCTCTCGAGGGACCGGCTTTCTTTCACCTGTCACATTCTTCCTGCGAATGCACATTGGAAATTGTGTGCATCGCTGCAAGCAGAGCTTGTCCCGGTGGGAGGTTATAAAATGCTGACGGTGAATGCAGTTTCTGCCACAGCTCAAATGCTGGCTCCCTGTGTTATTGGAGTGAGGATTTCAATTTTCCTCATTTGTCAGCTGAGTTTGGCTTCATTAACTTACATGTGCATTTCTGCAGACAGTGAATTTCCTTTCCTTATGGTTATTATACCACCAGCTTCTCACAATCATCAGAGAAAGCTAAGGCAGTAACACATTCTTCACCACTGCTGGCTGCCCATTACTAATTGCCATGCACCGTGCAGTTACTGTCAATTATACCAGCCCTTTATAGTAGCAATCATTTTTTGTACTGTCCTAATAATGCCACAGCAGGTTGCATATAGTGAAAGTTTTCTGTTTGTCCTGAGAAAAATATTATATCAAATGTCAAACACCATTTAACGTGCACCAGACAAGGAGATGGTCAGGTTTTCTACAGCTTTTTGTAGTAATATTTTGTTCATTTTACTCTGGGCTGAGGCCAGAACCAGGTTTAGTTTTCTGTAGTAATACATTCTGAAAATCAAAGAAAATATCTGTTTTCATGAAAGAAAAAGCCAAGCAAGTGGGAGGCTTGCCTTGTACTTGTCTAAATTATTTCTGTTGCATGGCTGACCCTAAAACTCCTGTGAGTACATTGCATGTCTTCTATCATGCAGTCTAGCTTGTAGGAATTTTAACAAAGGCAGAGACTTGTCCTTAAAAACAAAACACATAGATCTATGGGAAGAGCAAACAGAGCCCGACAGCATTGTGTGGCAAACTGCTCTTCTCTGTGTTGAAGAAGTACAATTTTTTCTCAGTGGCAGACTTAGCAGTAGCTTCATAGCTCCACTGTAAATCCTGGCTTAAAGATGAAAGCAAATGCTTCCTACCTCTTGCACTGCTGAATGGTCTCTATGTTTCTGGGGAGCGTTTCCTCCTTCAGCTACTATGTTTTCCCCTTGCAGTGGTATCATTGACAACACAGGCGGGAAGATCCTGGTTCAGAAAGTGGCCGGCCACGCTGGTTACCGGGGGAGCTT